GTACGTTACGTTTTCGTTTACTTACGTAGTGTACGTTCGTACGTCCGACGTACGTTCTTTTCGTTACGTACGTCCGTAACGACTACTTACTTCTATGTGTCGTGTAGTTTGTTTTGTTTAGTTAGGGTGGTGTCTCTCTCTCTCTCTCTCTCTCTCTCTCTCTCTCTCTCTCTCTCTGCGTGTGAAAGAGATAGAGAGAGAGGCTATTTCAAAACAGTATGCATGCTGTACTTCACAATAGAGAGCAACACCACCAAGCCATTCTCACACACTAGCAGAAATGTTAGAAAGAACCAATGACACTTAGAATGCAAGGGAGAAAGGTAATGTGCAACCTTATACCGCAAAACACGAGAATCAAAATCCTTCCACATCCCTGATAGTGCTTTCAAGAAATCTGACTTTTGCATATTGTCCCTCTCCTGTAAAGTAGAAGTTATTTGCAACAGAATTTTTAACAATCAACTACCACATTGACTTGCAGAATAATTATGCCATTGAAGCACACTAACTATACTGGAAAGAATGAGATCCATACAAGCATATGGTCCAGGAAACGAAGAGCACGCAACCTAGTATCATCCCTAAAGAATGGAGAACCTGCAAAATATAGAAGAGGCCATTCAGGAACAGCTGCTTTTGCAATCTGGCAAGAAAATTGCACGACATAAGATGTAAAAGGTGGGTAAAAGAACCAGAAGTCATGAGGAAATTAGTTCAAACACACTGCAGTTTATGATCATCGTCTCATTATCCCATGAATAGAAGATGCTCATTATTCTAATCTAAAGCACTCAATTGAAAATCCATGAATTGCACAAACAGAAGCAATGAAATGAAGAGGCTCTCGTGTTCTACCTGTAAAATCCAAGGCACTCGGTCGGGAAGCCTCATCCACCGAAAGCATCCGTCGTAAATCATTCACTAAATCCGAGGAGATATTTGAAAATGACTCATGCAAGAGGTATGTTAGTTTATTTGTATACTGCAACATAAACTCATGGTCAGATGGTCCATGCCATAAACACAAGAATAAAAGTGATATAAACATCGGAATGAGAAGGAAATTCACCAAATCTAAAAGATTAAATATCTATAATTGGGACATTAAGATTTTCCATGGTATCAGATCATTTAAGTCCTTATTTATTTTAATAAGAAAAAATCATTACATGAAACCATCCCCTATTTATTTTAATAAGAAAAAATAATTACATGAAACCATCCCTTACAATTCAGAAACTGTTACAGTTATAAACTTCAACTAAACATAAGCCTCATTAAGTTATGAATGATCTACACCCTGAAAAACAGATACATGTATGGTTTTATGTCCCTAACATGTGTTCTTTTCACCCTAATATATGAAATGTGAATAAATGTTTCAACACCCTCCATGAGGAGCATATGCATACAATAATGCAAATAACAAAAATATTCCTGTTACATATATACATATAAAATGCAGAATTGTTCTCCAAACCCTCCTCAATCTATAGCATCTGTGAATTTGATTGATAGGTTGTGATTGTCCCTGGTAAATAACTCTAATACAATCAACTCCAAAAATGTAAATATAGGGGAGAGTGAAGTCATTAAGCAGTTTATCTGAAGTAATGGCAATTCATCTAAATATACTTGGTTCTATCATAAAACATAGAGATCCAAAGTGAATGACATTACTTTATCTCCATGAGCAGGGTTCCAAACCAAACATAAAACTTTAGATCAGCCAAAAACGCCTAAAGACAAATCTCACAAAAATCAGCGGATACAAATCCACAGGCCGACAGCAAATTTGTACGCACGATTTCCTTCTTATTACACCAAGACAAAAGCAAATTTCCCAATAAAAGCAAACTTCCCAATATACGTTGGCATCCTGAGTACAAAATTTCTTGCCAATCAAAATCCACAACTAAAACATTCATCGAAACTCCACAAAACTTCGGATTAAAACTCTTTGAGCATTGATTTGCAAAAAACACAGAACTTTTGATGGTCGATGTCTTAAAATGCTTGATTTGATCCAACAAATTTGTAGAGGCCTTTGATAGAAAACCCAAAAACATTTCAATTGAAACAAAATTTGAGGTTGTTTGGTGTTTGGCTGTGATTCGAGGGAGAAACTGATAGTTTGGCGGATCGGTGTTTTTTAGCCCTAAAAACCCCAATTTTTTATGAAAAAACATGAAATAAGGGGAAATCAAGACTATTAGTCATGTTTTGGATCAGTATAAGAACGATCTATGCTCCTATGAATCAATGGGGGATCCTAATATAGTGTAGGATCAATTATTGATCCAGAAAACAACAAAAAAAAACTAAAAATATGCGTGTTTAACCCTGCAAAACGGGTTTTACATTGACTCGCCTGATTCACCTAATGACTCGCTCTAGTACCTCTCCAGTTGATTAAATACTTCTCCAATTCCCTCTAGATCGATATCAAGAACAAAGTCTAACAATTCATTTTGTTACTCATGAGCTTTAATCTCCATTCAAGCAGCTAAGAAACTAATTATACTTGACAGCACATGATGTCCATTACGAAATTGTAAATTTATTCCAACCACCAACCTTTCATCAATTCCTCCTATATCTGAGTCAACATGAACCAAATCTGCTTGATTTGAGTGATCCTCCTGAGTTGTGAGAAGAGACGTGCCACATTTGCAGAAATCCAAACTTGTTTGCGACATCTAAATGAGAATTTTTTTTTACAATGCTCTAAGCACATGATGATGCACTGGCCACCTCTCAATTAGCTTCAACCAATTGCTCAAGAGGCTAGAGGATCGAGAGTCAAGAGTGCACACATGTGTTACAAATGAGCAGATGGGCATGGTTTGGATGCCTCCAAATGCCGAAATATTTTACCGAAAGGAAACAAGAAGGGAACCACAAGGTTCGGGTGTGTCATTTTCTAAGTACTAGATATCCTAAAAATTGTGAAATTAGGGCTTTAAGGATTAGGTCTCAACTCAAGATACCAAAGTTGACCCATATACCAGGTTAAGATGGAACATATTATTTCTCGTTCAAGGAAAAAAGGAGGGTTGAACTCCCTTGCATAGAGAAACATGGACACAAGAGAATGGAACCCCTCATGGGGCGTATAAAATAAAATAAATACCAATGAGAAAGATATCTTGTAGTACAAGCACATAGAAATGTACAAGTACAGTCACTAAAACAAAGAGCAATACTCCAAATGAAAATGCAAATTCTGAACTACCATCACAATTCAACAGTCCAACCTAAGTTATCAATCAACTAAGGCTACATGGTCAAACCAAAGAGAACAAGTTGAAATGAATTCCCCAACCCTGCAGAGGGGAATAAATAAATGAACTCAAATACAAGGATAAAAATTAAAGGTAAAACACTTACCATCCGAACATTGTTCTTACAATCAAGAAGAGGTTTCCGAACAAGCAAATGGTATATAAGACATCCTAGACTGAATATGTCAGAAAGGCAACCAGCTAAGCCTGCTTGACTCCGCACTAGCTCTGGGGCACTATAATCTAGAGATGGTTGAAGCGGCATCACCAAATCATCAACATCATATTCCTGTAAAATCAAGAAACAAGCAAATTTCTAGGTGAATCAGTTCATTGATTACAAGAATACATACATTAAGTTGTTATATGGGGCCAAACAAGGCAGATGTCAATGTTGAATGTGCTTATGAGGAAGTATGAAAAATATCACTCATGAAAATATATAACATCATAGTTGGGAAAAGGCTCTGACGATGATGATGATGATGAAAAATATATAACATCATAGTTGTTTGGATTGGGATCGGGATCGGGATCAAGACCACAGGATTGTAAGAAGCAGGAAGCTCCTTAAGGTAGGATCGCGATCCACCCTGAAATCTAGGGATCTTAATCCCAATATGTGAGGGAGCTAAATCCACATTTCATTGGGATCAAATGATAAATTACACACGGCCAAGCTCTACCTAGTTTAAAATCAAGGCCCCTGAGAGCACTTTAATAGTACAACAGTACAATATATACTACTATGCTATAGTACCATACAATACTACACAGCTATACAACACTACACTGTTATAATATTATACTGTTGTAATATACTACATTACTATGCTGTATAGTATGTATAACTACTCTAATACACCACACTGCTATACTATACTACAAATGTTCACCCAAAAAAACAAACGAATGCTATTGCTAAAAGGCAACGAAAACTATATAATACAATACTATACCACATTGCTACATTCTACTACAATTCTAGGGAATATGGATCTCTTATAGCCTAGAATCTCGATCCCTATTGGGGAAGATCAAAATTCCAAAGTTCCAAAATCACAGAGGGGCAGAATCGACCCCTTGGTTTAGCAATTCTTATAACTAAGTGCAACACTAGAAACAAATTAAAGAAGAGATATATTTGAAACAACCGAAAGGTTTTGAGAAATAAGGAACAAAAAACCATGTTTGTAAGCTTAATAGATCGCTGCTAGCCTTAAGAAACCTTCTAGGAAGTGGTAGCTCAAGTTCCCTAGACCTTGTCTAGTTACGGTTTCACCTAGAGCAAAGAGGATTATCGTGTATATGTCAACCTCAACAGGAGTGAAGTGGTCTATAACTCTATATGTAGATGATATGCTAACAGCCAACAACAACATAGATCTTGTGAAGGAAGCTAAATCCTTTCTCTTAGAATTTTGACATGAAAGATTAAGGAGAGACATTTTATGTGATTTGTATCAAGATCATAACAAAGGAATGACCGCATTGTTCAATTGCGTCAAGTCTAATATTTTAAGAAGGTCCTTGAACATTTTGAAATGCAAACGTGGAAGCTCATGATTTCGCCCATTGATAAAAGGATCAAAATGAGTAGAACTATGTGCCAAAAGAGAAAAACAGAAGCCAAAGATATGCATAAGGTGCCAAATGCAGATACAGAGGGTTCGCTCATGTATGCAATGCTAGGTGCCTGGCCCAACTTAAACTTTTTGGAGAGTCACATAAGCAAATATCAAAGTAACCTACGATCAAAACACTGGATATTAGATATTCAAAGGGGACCAATAACAATGTGTTGTGCTGAGGCAGCACCGACATGCATGTGCAAAGATACATGGATGTAGATCACCAAGGTGATCCAGATGCTCTGACGTCAACTCCAAGGTGCATATTTATGCTTGGCAGAGGTGTTGCTTCTTAGTAATCAAAGAAGGTGTTGCATCTTAGTAACATAGCCAGCTGCTACGGAAGCAACCTGAGCCTGTTAATATAATATCTCACAGTTTCAGGTTTGAGCCTGTTAAATGTGATGCTGTGCATATTTTTGGTAACAACCAAGCCACAATATTGTAGTGAAAGAGCCCAAATTCCGTAAGAAATCCAAGCATATCAGAGCAGAGTACTATTTTATTGAAACCTAGCTCAAGAAGGAATAATTGAGATCTTGTACCGTCCCATGGATGTAATGCTCGCAGATCCCTAGACTAAAGAGGCAAGGGAGTGTGTTTGTAAAGCATGTAGATGTTATAGTGTTAAGAGCCGATAATAACATCTGATTATAATACCTTTCAAAGGCTAAGAGGAAGAAGTTGGGTTTTGTAGCCATTCAAAGAGCGGTAACTCTATAAAGTCTTATTTATTTCTTGTACCCCATAAAATTTTTAATGAGTTCTAATGTTCTGAAGTAGGTAGTTTTAGTGAGAGTTTTGAGCACTATGTATTTTAGAGTTGTTTATGGCATGTCAGGCTACCCGGGCTTCATTAGCAGCTCTCTCTAACTAAGAGCAGGCTGGCATAGTATCTTAGCGCACTCTAGGACTCTAGCATTGGTTCTGCAGTCCAGAGACTTTGCTTATAGAGTCGAATCCGCACCACATGGAAAGCTTGGGCTTTTGGCTTCTTGAGATGAATTTGTCAAAGTGGGTTTTCACAAATAACCTAGCGAAGGGTGGTTGTGTACCGTGGGGGTTAAGGTTTATTAACTAGTAAATATCTAGGCCATTTTGTGAAGAATGGTGCTTATAAGGCCAAGGGCCTTAGCCTCAACATTGTCATTCTTCAAAGAACTCACGCTTGATGTCCTCATTGCTTGGTATCCATCAGAATCTTGTATTTATGATGGAGTGTGTATGTGTTACCCTTCACTACCTCTATTAGTACCTTAGATTTGGTACCTTAGATAGGTAGACAAAAGTCATGCCTGAATTAATTGGCTAGTTATGACTTTTCCTTGAAGGGCACACATGCAATCCTAGGTCAGCTTATCGCTTATCTACTTCTTGACTAGCTTGGATGGGACAATCATGAACCCCTAACATGATAGTACTTGTGGATCATGGGTTTATACAGTTAGGTGGAGGGTAAATAGTGATATGAGCATTATTGTGAGTGCTAAGGTCTAAGTGATACAAAGTACACTGACTTCAAAAATTTTAGCTATTTAAAATATAAAATCGACAGAGCACCTTTGCAATAAAACGTTCGTGTCTCCTATTTATTCAAGAAAATAGACAAAGCACCTTTGCAATAAAACATCTGTCTCTTATTTATTCACAAGTCTATTCTAAAATTTTACGGGGAGAAACTCAAAAACAAATAGAATAATTGTTTTCGGAAAATTGACACTACGTGAAGAACTAGGGGCTTGAATACAATTCATTTCTGCAAATAAAAATTACAAACTGGTTTCTTGCCTAAAATCACCCCCAGTACTTCTTGTACCCCTTATTGCTTCCCTAGACCGATGGCGCACCTAGATCAGAGGCAGAAACCCTTTCAATAGGAAATTCGAATGAAAAGTCACTGAGCCAACCTATAAGGCTGAGGATACTAAGAGTCATCATAACTTTCTCTTAAAGACAAACTCTCACAAGAAAACTCTCTAGTACTCCATGCATCCTTCAAATTCCCTCACCTTTCTCTCTCTTAAATCCAACAAAGGGTTCCACACACCTCTCTCTCGCTTCAGCCCTCTAGGAAATTTGTTGGGTTAATGGGAGGTGAGGCCAACATATAGATATATTCTAGGGCTATATTGGAAATATAGTATTTGCCTTCTTCTAGAAAAGGAAGACCTAAGTGGTGAGAGAGACTAAATCATAATAATCAAACCTAGATCAGCCATCATGATATAAAGGCCAAAATCACACTAATATCTCAAAATTTGGATATGATAAAAACTTCCTAAAAGATAATTAATTCCAGGAGTGCTAATGCATATCGATCAAATCTTATCTTTGAAAATATTTTCATAACCAACTAAACTTCTAGAAGCTTTCATCATAACCTCCTAAAGCATTTAGAATTCACCTCAATCCAAATTCATTTCAATTACATTGGGTCTCCCATTCGAATTAGGAGCCCAATTACCATGGGCCGCTTGTAACACATTGTAGCCATCTAAGGCTAGGGTATGATTTTTCCATGTGGTACTGACTTGAGAGCAATGTTCGCAAAATCGAACCGGAACGGTTAACCGATCATGAGGCTGGGAGCGGTTCGAACCGGAACCGGACTAATCGGAGCGGTTAACCGGACTAATCGGTCAAGTAGATTTTTAAAAATAAAAAATGGGTCAAAATCCCCCAAAAAAATTAAAAACAAATAGAGAAACTTAGATTAAGTATACACCATCATATTACATACATTTATCTTATAAAAAATTTTGATAGAAATTTTTATATAATTTGATATTTGAATATTATGAAAATATGCAAGACAATTTATAATTTCACATAAATTCAATGGGTGAAGTTACAAAGTCCAACTAACAATGGATGATGCTTCTATATTGTTTTAATGTTGATGTTGAAAAATGTTGTTTTAATGTTGAAAAACCCTTTAATACGGTTTAGAATTGGGTTTGAGAGTGTATTTTTTTGTAGCATGATATTCCCAGCTTTTCGAAGGGTTGTGAGTCAAGGTAGTAAGAGAGAGCACCTCATTTACTTAGTAACTTGGTTATCAAATGCAGGGTGTGGCTAAGGTGTTAAGTGCTGCTTCAAAGGGCCAAATCGCATATTTTAAAAAATGTGGCCAAGTTGATTTTCAAATGGCCAAATCGATTTTGAAATGACCAAATCAATTTTGAAAGGGCCAAACTTCATTTACTCGATAACCTTTTGAAGTTGGGTTTTAGCATGAAAAAAAAAAAAGTTATATAAGATGGCAAGTTTAAAATGTAGAATTAAGATGCATATTTCTAAAAAAAAAAGTAGGCACTTTTTAGTTTCTACCTCTTTTCTCCATAGAGGCTAATAAACAGGAGTATGAAGTTGCAACAAATGATAGATAGCTTGTAACAAATAAAAAAACAAATTAGAAGAAAATGTCACAACTAGACAAGAAGTTGAGAACACAGACATAAGTAACATACACCAAAAATAACCTTAAAAAGAAATAAATTTTTTCTCATATTCATCACAAAATAATAATTTTATAAAAAAATATATAAAACATTAAAAACAATTCAACAAGCTCACCAAAAATGTATAACATTAAAAAGAAAAAAAAAATTTCCTCATATTCATCACAAATAAACATATTTTTGTAAAAAATATATAT